GTAGTACATAATATAAACAGCTTTGAGGGATATAAGAGATGAGAACGAACCAACGCGAAAAGAATCGGAATAGGTAGTTGGCATCTGATGGTAGCTCGGTAAAGTCTACGAAAGTATACTAGTGAGACTTTGGATCACATTAGATCCATGTCTCCCTACCCAGATGATACCAAGATAATACTTAGGTATGTACTATTAGTAGATGTCAAATTTTTCGTGGTAGTTATGCAGGGCAGCAAACCGTAAGACACTAGAATAAAGGAGGGAAGGTTAGATAGTATTGTTATTATTATTATTGGTTGGTAGGTCGGCGAATCAAACTCCAAAGTGGAAGATACATGTAGCTAGTTAGTGAATATACCAAGTACTTTTTTCTAGCTTGTCTAAGTCTCTTCTAACGCACATGGCGAGGTCAACGATGCGGCCTATTAGGATATATGAGCGAGGAGGAGTATAACGTGGTAACACAAAGATGATGTAGCACAAACGCAAGGAAGACTATACATGTACATATAAAATAAAAGCCTATCGACAATAATATAGGGTATTAAATAGTACGCACATACTAGGAAGAGAAAAGAAAATGTGAGCAATACATGGTCAATTAAAACAAAACAAGGAAATCCAGAACAGAAGGGATATGGGAAAAAAAAAAGGAAAAAAAGGGAAAAAACCAAAGTAGCCACCTGAACTGAACTTCCACCAGAATTTGGCGATCCATCCGCTAATAAGTAATTTAATCCTACTAAGGTAGGCACGTACATGTTGTATGCAGGGAAGGGTCTATGTACTACACTAGGTAGGGACTTATAGGTAACTACTAGGAGGTATCTACTAGGTTAGGTAGGTATCTAATACGTTAGTAGCCGGTTTACATAGCGCATCAGCTATTACGAAGCAATTGTATCCGGTACCTATCCTGTAGAGGAGTAGCCCCTTCGCCCGCGCCGGGTTCCACATGCTCTGGAACCTGTCCGTCCCCCCTCACTCCGTGCCCTCTTTGCTCTTTCCTTCGTCCCTCTCTCTTTTCTTAACCCTTCCTTTTCTTTGCCTGTGATCCTAAATATTACATGTTCATCGCATCGTATCGTAATCGCATACTATTATCAACTCCCCCCTTGGAGGTCGCGCAGTGTTTGGAGAAGGTTGCTGTTGGTTGAACGGATAGCAGCAGTATATGTTGAAGAAGTAGAGTTGAGAAGGAATAAGCAGGAAGTCGATAAGGTTCTTAAGGGAAATGTGAGTTCAAATCTTTTTTTTTTATCGTTTTGATCTACGTATCATTTTTGCATTCTGCAAGAAATGGCCCGGCGCGCGCAAATGGTGTGTGTGGTACAGCGACAGGTCTAGGTCCAGAAACCGACCTATCTATTTTTCTTCTTCATGTTGTGCGACGAGCGATTCCTAGGTACACAGCACCCTGCGATAACGGCGATGGCGGCGACGGCGGCGACAATAACAGCGATTTTCGTTTATGCGACACGATTGCGCGCGCAACTTTGACAACCTTAAAAACCTTAAACTATGCGCCGCGACAAAAGACCCCGCAGATATCTACCTATTTTCTCTCATGCGCGCCTGTCTTGCGACTCGTGGACCTCGCAACTACTTCTTGATGCGCCGACTCCCAAACAATCAAGAGACGTTTTCGTCTGTCGGTCTCCCGCAGAAGGTTTCGAGTAGTTTTCGAATATATGGGCTGTAGTCTCTAGCGACAACGTGATTCTATCATTGCTGGCCTGGTCAATTTGGCGCGAGCGGTTCGATTAGTTCGCGCATAACCGACCATCCGCCAACCCGATCCTCTTACTACCTCCCGACAACCAACACTCTAAGACAATTCGCCTCCGACCGGATGCTATCTAGTATAGTAACGAGAATACCGCCTCCTATATATTTGAAGTGTTGCCATCCGTGCGATCCACTATCGAAACTCTCAAGCTAAGGAAGACTGGCATCGAAGCTAGTCGACAAAACGCACAATTCTTCAAAATACTATCGGGCAGGTTTGGTTGTCTATCTCGCATTTTGTGTCGGGTGGCACAAACCCAAACATCTGTAACCAAACCAGTCGACCTGCAGATTCTGGAAAACCACTCAACTATGCCTGGCGCCCATCCGTTTGGTTTGCGAAACCATACCATTCCTCGTGGGGTATTTTATCCGATGAGAAACTGCACGTGGCGGTACCTTACTACCATTTTGGGTTGCATCCAAATTCATTAATGCCTACCTCTTATAATATCACTGGACGAATATCCTGGTGGCAATATCTACGAATCGCCCCTGTTCCCCATGGAAAATCTGTGACCTGGACAAATTTGGATTCGCATTTCTGACGAGATGCCCACCTCCATTTTGATCGAAGATTGGCTGCCGTCGAATAAGAATACTAATATACCACTACCACGTCGTTGCAAACGGGTCATTCAAGAGTGGACAGCGGAAGATAAAGTTCATGTGAAGTGTTGTGCTGATAATGGAACTACACAGACTCACAGACTAGTTACAATGTCTTCTCTATCTCGTCGAGCATGCTACAAGTGTGGCAATGTTGGCCATTACGCCGAGGTTTGCTCCTCCGCTGAGCGCCTTTGCTACAACTGCAAGCAGCCAGGTAAGCCTCAGCCCCCTGATAAATATTTGCTTGCTATAGAGTTTTCTCTTTGAGCTAACGGCTTGTGCCCAGGACATGAGTCTAACCAGTGTCCTCTCCCCCGAACCACCGAGGCGAAGCAGTGCTACCACTGCCAAGGGCTCGGACACGTCCAGGCCGACTGCCCTACTCTGCGCTTGAGCGGTGCTGGTGGTGGTAATGGCCGCTGTTACAACTGCGGTCAGCCGGGCCATCTAGCCCGAGCTTGCCCTAACCCTGCTGGTGTTGGAATCGGACGTGGTGCCCCGGTCGGCCGTGGTGGCTACGGTGGTTTTAGCCGGGGCGGTTTCGCCGGTGGACCCCGACCAGCTACCTGCTATAAATGTGGCGGGCCGAACCACTTCGCGCGCGACTGTCAAGCTCAGGCTATGAAGTGTTATGCTTGTGGGAAGCTCGGTCACATCTCCAGAGACTGCACAGCACCCAATGGTGGCCCTCTAAACACTGCTGGCAAGACGTGCTACCAGTGCGGCGAAGCCGGCCACATTTCCCGCGACTGTCCTCAAAAGAACACTAACGGCGAAGTCCCGGCTGAGGTTGAGATCCCCGCTGCTCCGGCTATCCCCCCGGTAGCATAAGAATATCGCAACTCATGCGGTATTCGACCTGGCTTAGTTTGGCGGCCAGCATCTATCGACCGGGTCGCTATTTCGACAGCACTCCCGAACGAATTTGATTGCTTTGACAGCTAAAACCAGCCATCTCAACAGGATAAATTTTGTCCGTGAGAATCGAGTTACCTAGACAAAATCTCCCTGAAGGAGGCCTTACAAAACTTTGGATAATCATATTTTCCTTGCATTTGCATCTTGAATTATCAAAATCTAAGCATAACGAGCATTCATCTCTTGCCTGATTTACTACACCTACCATTTCTACTGCCATCTATTCTTTCAAGACCCTTCATCGCTTCACCTATGTATCGGTGTCTGGATGCTCGGTCATCACAAGCTCCTACTGTTTCAAAAGCGTGAGTTATACTAGATTTCTCACGAGCTTCTTTGAAATCGACCTGGGGATTTCCCTCTTCTCCTAATTTCAACCCCCTATTTTTTTCGTCTTTCTATCCCCTTGTGTACTTTTCCGGCATGACTCATGGCGTACATGATACGATACGGTTAGACCTCTCCATTACGCGCGACATTAATGCGGGCGGTTAATATTCCTTAACGGATTGGGTCCACGTACAGACCCTTTTGATCGATCGGATCAAATCATTCTTCAGATACCCCATTTTCGCCCTCCTGTATTATGACTAGCAAGATTGAGGAGAGTGAGGGAGGAGTGACATTTTGACGAGAAAAAAAAGGGGCGGGCTGAAATCTGTGTGCATCGTCGCAAGCAGTTCTTTTAGGTACGTGATTGGGGAGGACAAAACCACGAGCAAACGACACGAAACTCGAAACTCGCAAGGTACTTGGCTGCAGCAGACTTGGTCGGATGCGGACTATGTTGAGTGAGGCCTACCTCTATAGAGAGAGATCTTAGAGAATAAGGTTTCTCAGGGGAGAATATCAAAACATAGGGCGGACGTGGAGTGAGTGAGTGGGGACGTGACCAACTTGGCAATAGCACGAGGAAAAGAAGAAGCAAAAAAAAAGCATCCTATGTTTGAATCAATGTTTAAGAGGATTGCAATGGAGATCATCGTCAAAATAAAAAGGGGGACAGTCAGTTGATGAGGTCGGAGTCTTCGTCGCCAATAGGTCAAGTCAAATCAAGTTTGTCAAGTTATATCATATCGTAAAAATATCGTGTGAAGTCAGTACCACTTAAAAAGAAAATCAATATTATTCAAAAATTTCCATCTTCTCTGAATTCCTCTTTGCGATTATTAAGAGCCTTTTTAAATGGTTATCTACCTCACATACTCTACCTAGGTTGAGACTTTACTTGGTCAACTTGCGCTGTATACCTACCTCTTAAATCACCAACTATAGCCCCTTAGGGAAGAATGGAGTTTTTCAATAATGTTAAAGCAGCTTGCGGATATGATGCTAAAGAAGGAACATGGATACCGTACCATGCCATTATACTACATCCCATTTGTGTCATTGGCAGCAATAAAACGATCAAACCCCTATTTGGTCTGTATGTAGTCTGTATGTATAACACGCAAGCTAATACGAATAATTCAGCCACTGGTCATCATTCCTAGACAGTTGATAGACATGCCATGTCATTTGGCACCCTTGCTTTATTCGCTGGTTCTAACTCGGTATGTCCTCACGGCCAGAGCTATATTGGGTAGCATGGAATCCTACAGCGTAACGCTGATACATGCACGATGCTGGATAGGACTGGACGACTGGTGTGGGTGATTAGGGTAAATCTTACGAATCATGGTAGAATATATTAATAAGTCAGTTAACTTCTAGTATAGATCAGTTTTCTTGTATTTAGTGAAATGATTTGGTGAGGTGCACGAGTTCAATCGAGATTGGAATTGAAACTAAGAGAGGAAGTATAGGTTATTGTCCGGTTTAGCGACGAGTATTATATTTAAAGGGGACCGTATAATATTCAATTTCTCTGCCATAAACTCATAGATATTTTGCTTTATGACTCGGCGTTTCCAGTTGCATCTCTGATCCAAACCTCGCCTATAGGATCTTCATGATCTTGGACGCATTTCCATTCCCCAATACCATAGGACTCGGGGGCTTTGCGTTTTCCGCGTCCGCCGCCGCCAATAATGAGATTCCCGGGGCGGTAGGTACTATCTTGTTTCATGCGTCGGATTACCGAACCGTGTATTCTGGCGGCATGGGGGATATCCCGCACTTCGCCGCATGGCAGCGGCCAACGGATTGGTTTCCACGATCCGTCTGGTCGTAGATCCATTCGCCGGAATGGCATATATTCCACTAGAGCAGCAAGGTAAGCAGTTATCGTTTAATAGCTCTATATATAGGGAATCGATCGCATAGGTCTGGGTATGTGAGGGCGGGTAGGGGGTAGGGGGTAGGGGGGGAGGCATACTTATATTCCAGGTTATCACCTGACCTTTGGTCAAGCCAGAAGCAAACTGCAGAGAATCGTGGATTCTGGCTAAATGGGCTTTATGAAGCATCTGGTGGAATGGCCGGACGTCCTGTTCGCCTTGCTCTTTCTTTTCTTCATCGCCTATAAAATTGAAGTGATCCCAATGCGTAGGCTGTATATCAAGGCAAGGTGAATCTTGGCTCGTTGGGCTTGACTTATCAACGCGAATGTCGGGAACAGCCCCATCATGGTGGGCATTGGTGTCAGGCTCATCAGAAGGTTCGGCGACGCCCATCTCAACTAGCTTCTCGGGGTCGAAATTGAGACCTGCTCGTTGCGCTTCTCTGATCATGTAGGTAAGGGGTACATGGCTCGCAGATTTGGTGTCTGGCATGATCTCCCATCCACCCCCAATGTCACCGTGGCCGCCGGCAAACCTATTTCGACTTTAGCTGATATTATCCTCAGGGGTTATTTGGTATCATGAAACTCACCAAACCTCGTCGATGTCTTGTTCATCATCATCTGAATCCTCGCCAATGTCTGACATTTGGGCAATTCCCGATTTATCATCACCGACTTGGCTCGTTCTGTCAACAGAGCTTCTCGTTGCCCGGGATCGAGACCGGGAATGGGGCCGGAACGTATGTTCATCCAGGGGGGCTAAGGTTTCGCGTCGCCCTCTCTCTGGCTTGTTATTCGATGTCAATCCCGATACCGCGCCTCGTCTTGTGCGATATTTCTCGTGGATAACTCCGTGCAGGTGCCGGTGTGTTTTATGGTCCTTATTAACCCCTTGGTAGATAAGGTCCTGCCTGAACTTCGCGCGACGTTCGTCTATGGATACACAATGTCGAATGACCTGTGAGTAGCAGTGTGTCAGATAAACAATGATGGTTGCTACATGGTTTAACCTACTTTGGCGCTGCTTCTCGCAGTATATGGCATTTTCGACCTTTGCATCCACGCGGCCTCGAATCGAGGAACGGAGTTGACAGTATCGAATAGCCCCAAGAATCGGATTCTCTTCACAGGGCGGCTGAATGTCTCTCGAAATCCCTTCATGAAGCGATACATCTCCTGTCTTTTCTCCTGTCTTTTCGCCTGATGTTCTTCGGTCCTGTCAGACTGGCGACTCTGCCACTGAGAAAATGCTTTCCAGGCAAAGGTCACCATCTCTTCATTTCCATGCGAAAGTAAACCGATGTAGTCGAGCATCTCCGCTAGGAAGCGAGCCACATAGGCGCCTCGGGAGAAACCGAAAAAATAGATCTCATCGCCTGGCTGATAGAAACGCATGAGGAATCGATACCCGCCTACTACATGGTGATCGAAGCTCGAGCCGACAGCGGAGTCTTTGGCCTTCAAGTACCACGATCGGATTCTAGCGTTTAGACTTGTGTGGGACAGCGAGTTAGACACGACATACGTCCCTATCCCGGGTTGGTAGTAGTGATCTAATCCAACAGTTAGCGAGGTGGTATGAAGAAAGCTTGCATGATTTATAGAACGGGTCTAAAATATATACATTGGCCACCAGATTCCCGATCCAGACATCTGAATATCTTCAAGATGTTACTGTCACTGTCGTCACCTCTAAACTTATTGCCCGTGCCATCGAAACACAGCACAAGCTTTCGGGGAGTACGAGTATCTTTTGCTGGATCCATCGTTGTCCATGGAGGAGTACGGTCATCTACATCTCCGTCGAGACTTGAGGACGTTGTAATATGCCCTTTTGAATCCTCACGACCAGTCCGGTAACGCCCTTCGGGTGTTAAGTGATATCGATCCATTGGAAAAGGGTAGATTTAGAACAGTAGCACACACATAGCTTGGCCTCGAGCAGCCCACCATGGAAGGATCTCTAGGTTACCTACCTACCTAAGGTAGGTATGTATACAGCGAGAAGCTAGTGCAACTATCCGCAGACCGCTGTAGATTCGAAACGAGTTCGCCCAGCCAATTAGGCGTTCGGTAGTAAACCATTGGATCTTTGAGAGGCTCGGTGAGGACACTATTGTCGATCATGTCTAAACTATTAGAAAAATGCTCCCTTGAAATCACTAGGTCGATCATAGCGAAAAAGCATGTCTGCGAGTGGTCGGAAAGCAAGTTGTGGCTGACAGCCGTCTATATTCATTAGTTAGAAACCTATGCACCCAACTTAAATAGGTACATAGCTATAGTTCTCAGCTGCTGTTGAGAAAGATAATTTGTCAAGGTGATAAGCATTTACAAGGTCAAATCATATGTCCCAGCTCAACTGCAAGGTGAACCCCGTAGGATTGCAATATAATATTAAGAGTCACTCAATATTAATTGGCCAGATAGATATGGTCTGACATCTTACATCTCGCAATATTTTACTGGTGAAACTACCAAACTATATTATTTTATTGGCAAAGTATTAGGTATACGAAACGTTGATCAATACCAATTCTAGTTGTTCAGATCTACGTGAAGGGCTACTAAATGTAGCTAAACGTGGCTAACAGATTCATTTTACTCATTGGAATCTGCGAATACTTTCCCTGGGGTTGTTTGATTTTCCATCAAAAGAAGACAATTGTTTCTAGCTTTGAGACATTCTCGTTGCTAATTTGTGGAAGACATGCATAGCACGATCCGGCTCAGAGGTGATAGTGTGAACGCCATTACGCCAAATGTCAATTCATATGTACGTCAACTATTATTTCCCGGCATCGTGAGGCGGTAAATTAACAAGATGACTATTACTCGCTTCTCCCTGGTACCCCGCTCGCTCTGTATACTGATCGTGTTCCGACTGTTTTCACTCTCTTAACGGGATTGGCTATGCTGTGTAAGGCTTGTATTGGTTCTAAGGAGAGCTGGTCTACATGGGTACCCGATCCAGGTAGTCGCATATGTAAGGAAGACTCCGGTTGCCTATGTTAGTCCAAGCAGATCAGATATGTATTAGAACGCGGGATTTTCTTCCGTTTAAATTAGTTAACGGAGGTAGTTAGCCGAGGTTTGTATCATTACCAAAGCGAATCTGGTGTATGTTAAGTAGTCCCTAGAACTCATAGTTTGGCTACACTATACCAGTTGTACTGAACACTTATTTTAGAAAGTTGACTCTTGCAAGAGAGCCGCAATGGGAGATCCGATGGTAGGCAACGGGGTTCATGGAACTAACGGCAGTAGACCCCACCATGTCGATTCCAACAGCTCTACCACGATGAACAAGTCTTCGGAACCCTCATCAGGGCCTATTTCTAAGGAGAAGCCTAAATGTTTCCCAAAGGCCGAACATGAAGGCGTCTCAACTATATTTGCCCAGTTTGGACAAGTGCTAAACGCTTCACGACGACCTCTCCCCGTTTACAATGGCGATGGCACTTATAGTACGACACTTCAAAGGACTGGATTGAAGAAGGATTTGAAGTATATCCGCCTGAAAGGTGTGTCGTCACGAACAACTAGAAAACAGTACTTTGCTAAATAGGTACCTATCACAGATGTGAAGACGATCCTAGACCTGGCCCGAAGCAAGCTTAAAGGAGAACAGCTTGTAGACGATAAGACGATGATAATGGAGCGCGTCATCCAGCTTGTTGCGGGACTACCTCATAGATCACAACTCAGAGAGGAACTCACTAATACGTTCCTGAACGAACTTTGGTACACATTAGACCACCCGCCTCTGTTATATATGGGCGAGAAACACGAGTACAGGATGGCAGACGGATCATGGAACAACCCAATGAACCCTCAACTTGGAGCGGCCGGATCAACATATGCTAGGAGTTGTCGCCCAGGCATTGTACCCCTGGGAGCCATGCCTGACCCGGGTCTCATTTTCGAATCGGTCATGAAGAGGACTAAGTACCGCAAGCACCCGAACAATGTCTCTTCGGTGCTTTGGTATTGGGCAACTATCATCATTCATGATCTCTTCTGGACAGACCATACGGACATGAGCAAGACCAAGACATCTTCGTACCTGGATCTTTCCCCTCTCTACGGAAGCAACCAAGCTATGCAGGATTCCGTAAGGACCTTCAAGGATGGAATGATGAAACCCGACACTTACGCAGACAAGCGGCTTCTTGGATCACCACCTGGGGTTAGCGTTATTCTGATCATGTTCAACCGTTTCCATAACCACGTCGCAGCAAACCTAGCTGCGATTAACGAGGGTGGCCGTTTTACGCCTCCGCGCGCGGGACTAAGCGAGGAGAAGGCTGCGGCTGCGTGGAAGAAATACGACAATGATCTTTTCCAGACGGCCCGACTGGTCACCTCTGGGTTGTATATCAATATTACGCTGATTGACTACGTAAGAAATATTGTCAATCTCAATCGAAGCAACACTACATGGACTCTCGACCCCCGCGCAGAAATGGGCCACGATGTTGGCACTCACGCTGGGTCTGAGCGTGGCACTGGCAGTATGGTTTCAGCCGAGTTTAATCTTTGCTATAGGTAAGTAATACAAATAGACAGACCATTGAATCTCGAGTTACAATTACTCAAAAATCTGCAGGTGGCACTCGTGTATCTCAGACAAGGACGACAAATGGCTTCAGGGGTTCTTCCGCGAGCTATTTCACAAGGATCCATTAGAACTAAGTCACCAGGACTTGGTTATGGGCTTTGCCAAATTCGATAGCGGCATTCCAGATGATCCTGCAGAGAGAGTATTCGGGGGCTTCAAGCGAAGTTCTGATGGCAAATTCAGCGACGACGATCTTGTCGGGTGTATCTCCGACGCCATCGAAGACTGTGCAGGAGCATTCGGTGGCCGCAACGTACCGGAATCAATGAAGCCCGTCGAAATCTTGGGTATCCTTCAGGGCCGAAAGTGGAACGTTGCAGGCTTGAACGAGTTCCGCAAGCACTTCGGACTAAAGCCGTATGAGAAGTTCGAAGACATCAACTCCGACCCTGAAATCGCCGATTCACTACGACATTTATATGAGCACCCTGATTTCGTCGAGCTCTACCCAGGGCTTGTTGCTGAGGAGGCAAAGGAGCCAATGGTTCCTGGAGTTGGAATTGCCGTATGTTTTCTATTCGTGGTATATTCGTGGTATATAATGACGAGACTACTAACATTTCTCAGCCTACTTACACGATTTCTCGTGTCATTCTTTCTGATGCTGTCTGCTTAACTCGAGGAGACCGTTTCTACACTACTGACTACCACCCACGTGGTCTCACATCTTGGGGATACAATGAAGTCGCGTATGATCTGAACATTAACCAAGGCTGTGTATTTTATAAGCTGTTCACACGAGCCTTCCCGAACCACTTCAGAGGAGATTCGGTTTACGCCCATTACCCTATGGTTGGTATGTCTACGACTGTTTGGATACATTCTAATTGGTAGACGTGAAAGCTAACTAATACGTGCAGTCCCAAGCGAAACTAAGATGATATTGACTAATTTAGGACGAGTACAACACTTCAACTACGACCGACCTTCACTTATCCCATCTCCTGTTAACGTCACCACCTACAGTGGGGCGCAACACATATACGATAATCAAGATAAGTATAGCACCATAGGGAATGAAGGACTCTCATACCTCATGGGCCATGATGGGAAACGCTTATTGCATTCGAGAGACTTACCTTCCCAAATCGACCTGGGAGAACTTACACCCGATCAGTTGTACAAAGGGGACTGGCATTCCCAAGTCCAGACATTTTATTCCCATATCACGGACCAACTCATAAAAGAGAAGACCTACAAGCTAGCTGGCCAGAAATTTGTAGATATTGTCCGAGATGTTGGAAACATTGGTCCAATCCACTTCGCTTCTCGTGTGTTCAACCTGCCGCTCAAAACAAAAGAGAACCCGAAGGGTATCTATAGCGAGCAGGAGCTATACATGGCTCTCGCCGTGGTTTTTATCTGTATCTTTTCTGAAATCGATCCCATGATGTCGTTCCCAATACGACAGGCGACAAAGGCGGTTGCTGGCCAGTTAGGTAAATTGATCGAGGCTAACGTGAAGACGGTGACGGGCTTTGGAATTGGCGGGCTATTTGGGGGGTCAAGTAAGAATGACCCATTAGCATCGTACGGCAATAATTTGGTCAAGAGTTTATCCAAAACTGGTATGAACAACTATGACATTACATGGACTCGGGTTCTACCTACCGCAGCGGCATCTGTACCGAGTATCGCAGAAGTGGTACGTCTCGAAAACCCCAGAATTATCATTATAATAGTAGCTGACGCTCAAACAGCTCGCTCAAGCCGTAGACTACTACTTGTCCTCGGAAGGATCCAAGTATATCCCTGAGATCCATAGTATCGCGAATAGTCCGTCTTCGAGCGAAACTGACGCGCTGATGCTCGGATATTGCATGGAAGGTACCAGGCTTTCGGGGACATTTAGTTCGTACCGTCAAGCAGCAGCCGGGGATACGATCACAGAAGATTGCAATCGCGAGGTATCGATTAGTCTTGGTGACCGTATTTTTATTAGCTCTGTAAGTGGAACACCCAAGCAACTTGATAGATAATTAAGACATGGCTGACATGAATTTACGAAGACCGGCGCAGCTAAGGACGCTGAGCATTTCCCCGATCCCGAGAAAGTGAACCCGCGTCGTCCACTGGACGCTTATATTCACTTCGGGCTTGGACCGCACGTTAGTCTTGGGCGCGACGCCGGCCAAACAGGGCTTACTGAGATGTTCCGGTCGGTATTCAAGTTAAAGAACGTGCGGAGAGCCCCCGGGCCTCAGGGTGAGCTTAAGAAAGTCCTTCAGCCTGGAGGTCTTTATATGTATATGAGAGAGGATAGGGGAGCGTACTTTCCATTCCCGTGCACGATGAAGATATGCTACGATGACTAGTTTGAAGGGTTGTCGACGAGAGAGGAGGTGGGTGCTTCGTTAGAAATATACGAGGAAACATATACATTCCGTCATATTCTCTCATCTACATCTAATTTGGAAAGGAGTTATGGACACCGACCTTTTAGAGGCGGTTATTCTTTGAATTGCAAGCTGTCTCTTGTTACAAGTATAAGCACTTGAGACCTGGTGCCCTCAAGTGTACGCCCACAGCCAGATAGAGAAAGAAAACCAAGCTACATGGCTTCTAACCTATCGGGGTAAGTCAAAACGTAATGACGGCGGCGTGAGACATACAAAGAGAGTTTCCCACCCTGCCATGTGCATGACATGGAAGTCATGTCTAAAAAGAGGTATAACTATATTAGGTCAGATATATCTTGAATGTATGAATACATCATTCACAGGGGAGAGGTTACATCCTTGCCAATGAAATGCATACCCCACAGACAAGCCAGATCCCTTTCTAGTCGGCAATGTGAGAGATATGATATTATTGAGGAGCCTAGAG